GGGCAGACTATGTCACCCCCTCAACCTAAGGGCCAAAATGCCGAGCTAACATGACCTCGGCATAATGAGACCCAGTCGCCTCTATGGCATGGGCGAACTACTGAGTAGACCATGAGTCACTCCTAGAGCCTAAGGGCCAAAATGCTGAGCTAACACGACCTCGGCGCAACAAGACCCAATCGCCTCCACGACATGGACAAACTTCAAGGGCAGACTATGTCGCCCCCTCAGCCAAAGGGTAGAAACACCGAGCTAACAAAGACCTCAGCATCAGGGAAGACTTAGCCGCTTCGGTAGCGAAGGAAAAGTATGGGATATCAGAGGCGTAGGCAGCTCAGGTTTAAACCCCACAGAGCATGGCTCGTCACGACACATTGGTTAAACCAAGGTATAGGCAACAAACACGCAGCTCGGGCATACATGGTGACCACTCCGCGGTATACTATAGAGATGCCTTAAACATAATTGCTGAAAGGTCTTATTTTAGGCATGTAGCCCTAATAGCTCGAAGTGATGAGATCGCTTTAGCAAAAATAAAAAGAGCACACCGTACTTGGAAGAAAAGGGAAATTTCATTACTGTCTCAAAAAAAAAAGAAGAAAGAAAGAGAAAAAAAAACAACAAAGCAGCAACCGAGCTAAAAAGCTCTAAAAAGTCTGGTAGAAAATAAAAGAGCACAACCGCCCAGCAAAAGATCCTTTCAAGACCGGGTTTATGGCACCCGGGAGCCACCAGAAGTCAAAGCAGATGATCAAATGCCACTGAAGCCTCAGGGATCTGCCTCCTCATCCTCATCCTCCGGAGAGTCAGGCTCCTCTTCCTCCGCCTGGTCCACCATCTCGGGAGACAGGCCCTTCATAGTGATGCCGTCGAGGTTGAGCCCAGAGAATTTCTTTCGGACCAACCACCGGTAGAGCTTGAACCCGAAGTGGTACGAACTTGAGCCATACTCTACCTGGAGGTCATGATATTCCTGGGAGTCTTTGAAGTCCTAGACCGCCTTCTCTTGCTCGGCCTCCACCATGTTGTCGAAGTTTCGAGTTCGGTCCAGAAGAGTGGACTCCAAGTCTCGACCCTGTTGGCGAAGGAGCTCCCTCTCCGCTACCACCCTTGATGACTCCTCCCTGTAGCATGCGCTCTCTTCAGAAAACCTGGCAATCTGCGCCTCTTGGTCTCGGACGAGCAGCTCCTGGGACTTGCTCCCCTTGCAAGTGTGAAAGTGCTCGCCCTAGAGCTTCTAATTGTTAACCTTCTGGTTACGAGCATCGCAGGAGTGGACATGCGTCTGGAGGGACATGGCGTGTATGGTAGTGTTCACCTGCCAACAAGAGACTGGAGTCAAAGGACAGCAAAAAGGAAGGAAAGACGAAGGAGAAGAGAATGACCACTTACCACCATACAGAGAGAGGCGGCAAGCGCGGCAAGATCCCCAGGCTCCATCGCTCCCCACTTAGCAACCTCTTCATTGCAGATCGCTCTCCGGCTCCTCCAACGAGCCACAACGAAGTCATTTACGCCCTCCCAGTTCCCCACTAGGAGTCGCGGGTAGGGAAACGACTGAGAAGGACCCGAGGGAACAAACCCTTGCTACGGGAGCTCGCCCTCCTCGAGGCTGGCCCCGCCAACACCTCCTTCGGATGGGGGTGGCAGAACTTCAGGCGGCGGAGAGGTGAAGCCTGGCTCAGCAGACCCGAACTCGGTGCCCCCAGAGGGGGGAGTCTGGTCGGGGCGTGACCTCTTCACTTTGCGCCTCTAATTGCTTGAAAGAAGACGACAGGAGTCAACACCAGACATGATGGCTTTCAAGAAGAAACCATAAGGTAATTAGTTCGGTAAGAACAAAGTATATGTATTTACACAATATTGTGACAAGGTACTACGCGACCTAAAGAGGAAACCTACGTGGGCTCAGGCCGGCCTGCACGATCTTCTCATCGGTCAAGTAGTCCGAATAGTGGAAGCCTACTGATGCCCAGGACATCATCGTTTTTTGAGTTTCAGAGTCCAGCTCGACCCCGGAGTCCTGGATGACGCCCCTCCAAGATGTAGGGAAGGGCTACCCCTCGGGATTGCGGACCAAAAAATAATCTCGCTTCCAGGCAGGAATTTTATTCGGTAGCTCGTGTAAGAGCTTGTAGCCATGGCGGGGGGAGAGGTAGTAAAGACGCCTCTCCGGTGGATTCCCGGGGGTGACATTCTTTATACAAAGAATAGCAGAAAAGATGTCAAGGTCCAAAGGAAGACAGTATTCACAACACAAGGATATAGTCCCAACCATGTTCTGAATGGCGTTGGAATGAAGCTGATCGGTAATGACGTTAAAATGGTTTAGCACCTCCACTATCAAGGGGTGCAAGGGGAGACGTAGGCCAGCCTCGAGCTGCTCCTAGTAGATGACTATCTCATTGGGGCCGTGCTCCCACGGGAAGTTACCGATGGGAAGGCAGTAGAAAAGGTCCCTAGGAAGGTGGAAATAGCTGATTAGAGACCTAAGTCTCCCCGCTGTCATAGAGGAAGGGCCGAAAGTATCAGGTTCCCTTCCCCGGGAAGTGGAGGCTCCGTCACCGGAGGTCTGCTGAGCCCCCAAGACGTGTTCCCAAGCTCCCCCCGAGCCCGAGGGAGCATCATTATCCTGGTCACCGCTCCGGTGGCGAGTATGGTACGGGTACCCAGACATGATTGACAGTAATCAAGACTCACTGAAAAAGACAGGACGAAGTAAACTGAGGAACTCGAGTAGACTTGATAGATGCGCGACCTCAGAATCCGAAGACAGCAAGATGGCGTGAGAGAAAGTGAGACCTAGAGGGCCCTCATATTTATAGTCTCCGCACCTCCGAATCAACGGCCCGGATTAAGGCAGATTTGACGGTTTGCAGGTGTGTTGACCGCACGCCTTCTAAAACCGAAAAGCGATTGGCTGCACGTCTCCCATGATTGAGGTAATGACGGCTGCACGACATCCGGAGTTAAGAGCCACCACAGCACGTTTTCGGAATACGAAAGGTCAGAAAATCTCTCAATTCCCGCAAATGCATTTAATGTGAGCAGTCAATCAAGTTTGAATTCCGGTCAAATCAGTCCATCATACTTCATGAACTCCTTGCGCTAAGGCAACACTCTTAGCTCAAGGAGTGGGGGGCAATTGATGGAGGATGATTTGACCTGACCTATGAAATGATGACACGTGGACCTGACTCAGCACGGGCAACAGCTCAGCATCGTAGCCTGATCACGGCTAAGTAACGAGCCCATAAAGCAGCTTGTTATATCATAGTTCGCTATAGGAGGAGCTCGCTACAACACAAGCTCTGGGACCCCCCGAGCTACCCCGAAGGGGAAACTCCAAGATTGCTTTAGCTTGCGAGCTAGGGAAACCAGCTCGCTCCAGCCCCTAAGCAAATAAGTCAGCCCAGAACAGCCTTAGTAAGGGTAACCCCGAAGTATTCCCAAGCTCGCTACAAAGTAGCTCGCGAATGAGCAGCATGGATGTTTCTCAGGAAGCTTCTACTTGACAAACCATACCGATCAAACTGCGCCACGTCTCTTGACTGACGGTGCAGTGCCTGTCCTTTCGATAGTCTGCACCCACGTCTCTCAGCAAGCGAAGGCGTGCCTGCCCCTTTAAGACGTGTCACTCATCCAAGCAAGAAGTATGTTGCAATGATCACCTGCGCAGCCCTGGCAGGTAATGGCTACGGCAGGGGCCCAGTGGCGGTTACACCCGATTTGATAGTAACTCCCCTATAAAAGCCCTTGAGGCAAAGGAGAAGGGGGATCTCTCAGACTTTTGAATACTTCTGCACTTTCATATTCTCAACCTGAGTCTTTACCTACTCGCGAGCTAATCTCTCGAGCACAATGATAAAGCGCAACGTACACTCTTAGCTTTCGCACTCTCTTTTTTCTCCTCCCCCAACGTTCTGACTTAAGTTTCGGAGTATTCCCACTGGGTAAATCCCCAAGAATCCTTCTTTTCATCTTCTAAGGTGCCATTCGTTGCCAATAATGAGCCAATCAACAACCAGCTAGGAGTGTCCGGATCGTGCGGCATCACTTACTAATATATTAAAATATACAAACATATATACATGTATTGCATGAAAATGCTAAAATTTTATCATGCATTAGTTTTTATACGGTAACGCATCAAGGACGGATTCATTTTTAGCTTATCCAATGAATTATTCCTGCAATTGTGGTCATACAGAATCAAGATTATTGCAGAAGAGTTGGGATTGGGATTTATTTTATTTGCCCTTTAGAACTGGGGGTTCAAATTTTCCTGGAAAGGAAAAGGAACTAAAATATGGATCGACTTGGAGCTAACTCAGATTAGATGAGATGGCTGTATATTAGGCAGTGGAACCAATAATTACGTCCCACGCCAGCCATATACATAGCTGGTATTTCATACGTTACAACCCTTTACCAACATGATCTTACACCGTACATATCATACATGGTGCGTCCAACTTTAATGATGGATCTCAAGTTGGTAGAGGGTTGAAACTTGTTTGTTGGCAGAAGATCCCAACTCGTATCGGGGTACCTTAAAGTTGCCTGCTAGCCTTTCAATTTGGACATCGACTCAGAGGGCTGTCCATAGAATCAGAGTCCGGATTGGGTGGACGATAGAACGTGAACAGTAATTTCTGTTCTCAGGGTTCTTTTCATGATGGACGATAGAACGTGAACAGTAATTTCTGTTCTCAGGATTCTTTTCATGGATGGATGATAGAAGGTGAACAGTGAACTTGTAATGTCAGAATCACAACTCAACGGAGTTGAATCCAACACTCCGAACTCAACTGCACTGTCAACCTTGCAAAGGGACTGATACCGAATGGAGTTCTTCAGAGATCACAATTAACAAGCGTGAAAACTAGCTAGGAAGATAACATTCATCATCACAGAAAAAAAAATAAAAATCAAAACCATTTCATAAAGGCTTGTTTTGAAAATTTAATGAATTCAAAATTTCAGACTAATTAACTTACTGGGACCCATCGGGATCAACTGTGCCGGCTGATGAACATGAAGGATGCAGATCTTCTCCCCTCCTGAGTTCCTCAGTGTCCATAGCAGAACGGATAGGTTCTCTCTCACTTCCTTTCCGACCGCCACAAAGATCTTATCATCGATGTTGCACGGCGGTTCTTCTTCGATCTCGACTCCGCCTTCCATCAATTCGGAACAAATGCAATCCTTCCGAGGTGCGCGCAGTGGAAGATCGCTCCAGTACCGCAACAAAGGATCTTCTACTTTCGTTTGGACTCCTCTCCGACCACACCACTCGATCAGATTCTATTTATGGAACTCCCTCTCCATTGGAATCTTTGAATTATCAGAAGAGATGTAAAGTTTTTCTCCACAAACGTTACGAAATCAACAAGGGCGATGAATTCGGTTTGATCTGAGATTTGCAGTGGAGCGACGGATTCTCGATTTACTTGCAGAAGCAGGTTGCTATCGCAAGATGAGCTCCACAAGCATTATTATAGTGAAATAGAGGGATGAGCGGAGGCATATTCGGTAGCTTGATTCTGCTACTGCTCTCTCTGGTTCTAGGATCTGGTCTTATGGTCGGGACTCCGGTCTATGTCACCCCCCAAGCCCCAACGTGACCACGGTACGCGTGCATTTGGTGCTAATGTACGCATTATGTTGAGCGTCGCTTATCTCGAATGGTCAACGGTAATAACTGTCGCCGGGAAGGAAACACTGGACAAATAACATTTGCTACGATTCGCTTGCCTCTCCCAATCAAACACGGACAAACCAGCATTTGAAATTAAAAATATGCGTAAAAGACTTAAATACTCATGCATCCCCTCTATTTACAAATTGGACTTATGGCTTAGTTTTTTCATTAATTCTTATCTCTTAAGAAGAATCTTTTAATTTTAAGAGAAAAATGGTTGTTAGTTTCGTCTTATCTCTTATCACTTAAAGTTGCAATCAGACAATTTTTTATTTTCCAATGATACCCCCAAAAAGATAAACAAAAGTTCTCATATATAGGGTCAAAATGGATATTTGATAATTTTCAGAATTCAGAATTTAGAACATTCTCTGCATTTGAGAGTTCAAAAGAAAGAAAAGTTCACCAATAGATGTCAAGCTTCAAAGCAAACAAACAGGCCCTTAGACCTCCTATGTGGGGTGACATAATCAAACAAATACTTCTCTTCCTTAGCTTTCCATCCAAATTGCTTTATATGTGACATCATGTGAGAGAGTTAATTATTTTATAAATCCAAAATTGCCCTTATTGCTCCTTTGCTTGCATATGATGAATAAGTACCGATGCACTATATGTACAAAGTCACCATTTGTACAAGTAGTTGATGAAGTACAAAAACACCATTTGTACAAAGTATCGATGCATGGCAGGTGTTCACTACTAGACTCTTGTGCTTGGTATTTGATGTAACTGTTTTTGGTCACATACCAATTTTTTGTGATGTATAAATTTTTTTTGGCTAAGTACCTCGTTATTTGACCTGGTGGTGACGTGCCTTGGTGATGAGCTACTTGGTGGCGAACTCCCTGATGGAGAGCTGCCTGGTCGCGAGCTCCCTGGTGGTGAACTGCTTGGTGGCGAGCTCCCTGGTGGCGAACTGCCTGGTGGCGAGCTCCCTGGTGGAGAGCTACTTGGTGGCGAACTGCCTGGTGGTGAACTGCTTGGGGGAGAACTGCCTGGTGGTGAACTGCCTGTGGCGCTCCCTGGTGGCGAACCGCCTGGGGGAGAACTGCCTGGTGGCGAACTCCCTGGGGAGAACTGCCTGGTGGACTCGTCACTTGACCTGCTCCTAGGCGGCCTACAACTTAGAGGATGGTAGAGCTCCCTGGTGTAGCGCAACCCGACTGCCCTCTGCATGAGGTGATTTCCTCTCCTTTGTAGGCGGCGGGAGCTGAGGGACCTGCGAGAACTGAATCAGAGGACCCGGGGGTATTTTCCCAATGGGAACTCTCCGATGCCTAAGTTAGCATTCTGATTACAAAGAGCTTGGAGAGAAATGAGAGAGCTAGAGAGCAGGGATTACCTCCATTTTTCCATTCTCTCCCCGTGTCTTTGGGGGTTGGAGTGCTTATATAGTGGTGTCCTGTCAAATCAAGCGTAACAGCCTCTGTCAAGTCAGGCGTAACCGCTTCTGTCTCTCTGCCGCAGCCATTACTGCCAGAGCTGAGATGGCGGGTGCAGGCGGCTGCTGCAGAGTACGACTCGGCCAGTCAAGGGACAGCTCTCAAGACTGGCAGGCATGGCGTCGCCTAGCGAGAGACATGGGCACAGGTCTCCAGATCTATTAGGTACAGTTGTCAGGCAGGAGATCTTCTTGCGATACGCCGAGCTGCCCCTAAGTGCCGAACTACCCCTAAGTGGTGAGCTCTTCGTAAGACGCCAGGCTGCCTGCGGAGTGGCCAGCGGCCTGTGGCGAGGTGCCTATGCCGAGCTGCCCCTAGCTATACCGAGCTCCCCGAGCTATGCCGAGCTACATGTTGTGAGCCATGCCGAGCTGTCTGTAAGTGGCAAGCTGTGGCAAGCTCTGCCGAGCTGCCCAAGCTTCCTGAGCTGCCCAGTTGTCAAGAGGCTGCACTTGGTTTACATGAGGTGCCAGGTGTCACAATTTCACTGGAGGGCCAAATCCACCCTCATCAGTATTCATAAATATTTTGAATTTAGAAGAATTTTACAAAGGTGGGGTATACACTTTATATGGATCAACTTTATTAATTAACCATGAGGAACTAATAGAAGAATAATGGTAATGAATAGACGAATGATACAAGAATAATGGTAATTAATTGTGAGGAACCGATAGATTTTTACCTCTGCTCCAATCGCCTATCTTTTTACTTAACTTCTCCCACCCCTTCCCATCATCTTCAATAGTCAAGTGAGAATGTATTGAATGCATGAAAGAGGGCCATTTGGGAAAGGAGCTGGAAATCTCCACAAGTAGTGGATGATTGTGATGGGTTTCACTTTGCTGCTAGTGATTATTTGTAGAGGAAATCTATAGACAGAGGGTGGGTTTGGGGAAGATTTCTCAACTCCCATGTTTTGCCAAAAATAAATAAATAAAACACTGTTTTCCAGTTGGGTGGTTTTGTTTCTAAATTTAAAGAATTTTAAAGGATAAAATGGCCTTTTCATTAATTCAGTTAAATATAACGCCACCTTATTTTGGACAAGGGAGATTTAAGTCCTATGAGAAATGAGAGGGGAGGTGTAAGTATTTACGTTAAACCTCAGGGGAGGTTTAAGTCTTTTACCCTAAAGATAATAACAGAAAGTGATTCATGTGATGTTATGAATTTATTTCCATTGCAACAATGTAGTTATTTGAAGGGGAATGATTTAATTTTAAGACAAGGGCGGTTTCTTTTCTCTTTTCACTAGATGGACTCTCCTGCATTGAAACATATTTCAACACCCTACATGATCACACCAAGGTTCAAAGTATCAATAGGCCCCTATGTATCGGTAGAGGCATATCAGTACTAAAACTCATGCAGGCCTATATTTTTTTTAGCTTCTTTTTTTAAAAGCTGATTTTTGGGGAGGTTTTTATGCATATCTTTTATTAAAAAAAGAGGATTCATGTATCGGGCCCCCAAAGATACGATACAATATACTTGATATGGGATATATAGTATCAAAATTTTGATCCTTGAATCAGACACCGCACATCTCACCATGAGACTCTGGGACTTATCATATATGAGATGTGTGGTATTGAAATGGTTTTTGTTGGTAGGAGATCCAAACTTTTTTTCACTAGAGATATGCCCCTAGGGGTGGCCACAAGCCGATCCTTTCACGAGCTATTTGAGCTTGGCTTGACTTGGTTTAAACCGAGCTTCGAGTCGAATTTAAGCCCGATATATAGGCTCGTTTGCTAATCGAGTTGAGCTCGAGCCCAATGAAATTCGGCTCGTGAGGCTCGCGAGCTTAGCATTAAATAAATAATTTTATTATATATAATAATAAATAATATTTTTTATTTTCAAAAAAAAACTTGGCTTATAATTGAGCTGAAGCCATGCTGAGCTCAAACTTATAGGCTATGAACCGAACCAAACTCGAGCTCAAACTTGAATCTGATACTATTCCTACGAGCCAAGTTCGAATAACCAAGTACTCGACTCAGCTCAACTCTGCTTGAATCCACCCCTATATGCCCCATTTATAAAAAATGGAAGGTCTCCAAATAAATGATGAAAAAGAATTTGCACTTGCCCTAGTACAGTATTCATCAATACTTTGTGAGAAATAAACTATCAAATGTTGGGATAAAAATCAATAAAATGGGCTTTCTAGAGGCTCCCAGTGAAAAATCCTTGCATGAATTGTTAGAGGATTGTTATTATTCCATCAATCGTTCCTCCCTTTCTTATTTCCATCAAAGAAGTTTCTTTGGGTGATACTTGCTCCCAAAATTGACATTATTTAAAAACAAGAGTAAAAATGGTAATACAACTGGAAAGAAACATGGCCTTATTTTATAAGATTGATTGTTGAATGCGATGTGGATTGACTACTTTACCCACCAACTGAGGGCTGAGTCGGTGGTGTGTTAACTGGTTTGTTCCAGATGCGGAATCAAATCTCGCTACCAACATGTTGGAGAAAAAGGGGTGAGGGGGAAGTTATTAATGTGCATAGCATCGATTAAAAAATAAATAAATAAAAGGACTACTTTACCCACTGAATATTGACCGAATGTATTCACTAAAAGACAAATTAATAAACAAAGAAATAGTTAAATCCAGCCAATTATTATTTATTAAATGGCCCCTTACTCCCTTATTTCTCTCTCTTGGACGTCTTTGTACGAGAAAAGGCACAAAAAAAAGGTGATTTCACTGTTTCAGTGAAGTAATATTTCCAGGAATAGTCGGCGAAAGCTTCTTCTGCCTTAAGTTAGCGTCATCCATGACTCCGCACGTAAAGCCAGGAACCAACCCCAGACCCAGAGTGCTTCCGTCGCATTGACTCTTCTTCAGCAACCTTTCTTTTTTATTTCTCATTTCGGTTAGGGCACGGAGGGTTGGACGAATGATGTCCAATCTGCTTGGCTTGGCTTGGCTTGGCTTGGGTTTTCGTACGGATAAAATAAAAAGAGAGAATGACTATTCAGTCCATCCCAAAATTTTTAGTCCATAAATCAATGTTAAATTGTGATTTATAAGGGACTATAATTTTATATATTTATGCGATAGAGTGCAGTTTACTTCACCAAAATAAAAATAAATGAAGTACAAGACAAAAGACTATGCAGGGTATATGCTGAGAATGTACCAATGAAGAACGTAAATATAACCTCCATTGCTCTTTTGACTTTATAAGATAACACGGAATTCATGCGTTTTATATTGTGAATTGTACGATGGATTTTGTTCAGATTTCTACATCCGTAGCAGACTTCAGATTATTCCCCCAAAATCAATAAAAATAAGGTAAAGAAATACATGTTGTTGCTTGTAGTCATTTTCAGATTATCCTACAATCAAATAAAAAAACAAATTAAACACGCCCCGATGTAGAAAAATAATTGGACAAAATAAAATTGTCATCAAAAGAAATAGTTATTTGCATATCCTAATTCCACTACAAGTAAGGAACACGAAATGACCACCAAATAAAATATAAATTCCTTCCTACCAAAACACAAAATACATTTTAATTCCTACAATATAGTTCAGATCTATTTGTGCAACCATGCTTGCGTTGTTTGTCTCAAGGCTTATGCCAGTGAAGTGAAACTAGAAGAGAGAGAGAGAGAGAGCGAGCTAGGCTGTACGTGGTTGAAACTCTAAACTCTAAGCTATTAACTTATTCTTAAAAGAAATAAATAAAGCACAAAACTAGCTACTCTAATACATGGTCCTGTGGAAGATCATACAACGTTTTGTATTTTAGATAATCTTTCCCCCTCAACAAATCATTCTTGCAAGTAAAAGGAGACCTGTTCATCACCAGTAAAATGGGTGAAATGTTCATGGGCCAAGCCTGAAGCCCAGCCCGTGACAGGTCTACTTGCACAAGGAGTTTGTTGGATTGGAGGTGGTGGCCCAACCACTAGCCAACTGTCTAATGGGTCTTTTTTTTATTTGGTAAATTAACAAGAACCATTCTTTATTAGATTGTGAACCCTCAAAGCATTTCTCACTGCTTCAACCCATGTCCTTGGCCTCAGCTCTTCTAGGCTATTCAATTTGCATTAGATGACTTTATTCTCACTCGTGGAAATAGGTGGTCTTCCAAGCACATAACTAAAACATCTTAGTCTACTTTTTCTTCTGATATAAATACCAAAGGAGGAGAATACATCTAAATTCTTACAAGTATGCTCATATATAACCATACATTCATTTTGGTTGTCACTTATCCATCTATTCATTCCTTTTCAGCACATTATTTTTTGACTAACCAATGCTTTGCCATATAAAATCGTTGGCCTTATGACCATTTTATAGAGTTTTCCTTTAACCTGAATGATATTCTTGGATCATATAACACTGCAGATGCACCTCTCTATTCCATCTACCTTCTTTAGCCCAGTCTACCAACTAGATGGCAGCCATGATTGATTCAGCCATTTAATCACTTGTATGGCTCTTCAGAGAAAGCACCAACGATTTAAATAGAGCACATATGGGCAATTCTTAGCTTAAATGGATAATAGTGTGAAATGGGCGGACATGGGCTTTGGATGTAATACAACTATAATGAAGTGCACTAAACATCAAATGGCCAAAAGAGAAGAATACCAGAATGTTGGAAAATTGTTTCTCCTTCCAATTTAATGCTTAAAATTGTCAGTCAGAATGTCAGATGGCAAAACAATGTCATAATTTCTGCAAAACAAATTCACAATTGCAAATTACCCATACATCCACCTAACGAGCAAGGTTAGGCAATATTTAACATATATGAAGGAGGCTAATGGAATGCATGTGGGTGAGTTCAATCTCTAAATTGAACTGGTTCAAAAAAAAAATTAATAAATAAATAAATAATCTAAATCAATCTGGGTCCAACAGCTTTGCCCTACAAGCATTCAATCAGTTGAGTTGGTTTTCCTATTGTTGTTTTGTTTTTGCTTTGTTCAATTGCAATAAGGCAATCAATAGATATTTGGAGTTATTTTAAGGGTCAAAAGTCCACTATTGAGAATATACATGGGTATATTGGGCTTATTTGGCTTTTAGTTCAATCAGTAGTTCTTTTTAGTTGTTTTTGAGTCTTGGGGTTGGTTAAGGGAAACCTGCTCCTTTTTTTCTATATATAAAGTAATTACATCTAAAGCTGAACTTTAGAGTTGACTGGATGAAAGAGTTAACTTTGGTTAACATGACTTTCCGCTGGTTGCTATGGAACCTAGGGAATTACCATAGGATTCATAGGTTTTATTTAAAATTTCCATCACCTAGGTGACTACGCAACAAGGCACCCCCCCTGTCGCCTTGTCACCTTGAAAACTATGCTAACATGCATCACTCTTTTCTGAATCTTTTTGATCTCATGCATTTGTTCTGCTCATATACATACATATGTCAATTAAATTTATTACCAATTTGATCTAAGTTGCTAAGTCAACTTAGTAAAGTTAGTGAGTGACAAACCAGAGTCAGAACTCCTGGTTCCCAAAGGAAGAAGATGTGGTTATTGTGAGTTTTATCTTCTGTTAGAATGAAAGGTAATCCACGTAATAATATCATAACACTTGCCATATTTTCCATGTGAACTGAAGCTCTCTCCATTATCATGAAATGTAATTCTTTACTGACTTCACCCAAGCAAAAGAGGTTGACACAGTCCTGACGATATTGGCTCTATGTAGGAGTATCAGGATGTGCTACTCATCTCACAGAAGTGCAACATACCCCCAGAATGGACTGAACATGGCTTTAGACTCAGAATTTCTGATTCTTCTGTATGATATCAATGGCTCTCTGGTAACCTGCAGCAATAGAACATCATTAGAAAGACGTCAGCATAACCAATTCTAACTACATGATCTTGACATTATATGTAATCCTCTTACAGATTACGCTAGAAGTAAGATCAGAGAGCTAAGATCACCAATGTCTTCAAAACTGGATGGTTAGACCCAGTCAGATTACAATTGAACAGTGAACTGATATAAAAACCAGAGTGAACAGACCGTTTGAACCATCCAGTTATTAGGAAATTATAACCACCCAGTTTTTAATGAACCTTCCAAACTGATGCATGAATGAAAATATACAAATTGGAAGAAGAAAAAAAAATATTCTTTACTCTACTATAAAATAAAAATCAGGTTATCTTTTCTCCCAAATTTCCTCATTTATTTACATAGAAACTTAAAAGAAAAACTAAGGCACAAACAATATACAATATTCTCTCTGTATTATCATAATTTTTCTATTAATTTTCCTTGAGATCCAAGGTTGTATTGTCCTGTCCAGATTTTGTAGACATATCTATTACATATATTTATTGAAGACTCAAAATCAGTTCAACAAAATAGCTCCATACTGAAGAGTAAAATCGAGTGAGCACCGCTCATGTAGGAAGAAAGAAGAAGAATTGATAGAAAAAGATGAAGAAACCCAAAACACAAATTGTGAGGGAGTGTACAGAATTAATTAAAGACTCTATTTAAGTAACTGAACTCTATTTGTTACCAAAAAGCCAAGCATTTCGTATAAGCAGAATTAATTACAGACTGTACTGAACTCTAGTGAACCTTTTACATACAAGGGAGGAACAAAAAGTGCAGTGACTGATACAGCTTATACCACGCCATTATAAAAGGTGACAGCATCTGGTGGACTGGTCAAACCAGATTGATATGGGATCAGACTTAACTGTGTTTCCAGGCTGTCCAATATATAGTCTGGTCTCCTAAAAATTGAACATTGCCAAAAGAAGAACCAATAGCAAGTCCATGATGTAATTAACTGTATAAAAGAGAAATAAGTTGAAAAGCTTGCATTCAAAAAGAGAAAAGTAAACAAAAAAATATTTGCATGTGTTTTTTCTTTTTCACATATCTCCTTAATCTTCTGGCCAGTTTCAAAATGGCATCTGTTTTTGTCCACTTAAGTCTTTTATAGATGAAATAAGAATTACTAAGCACTTCTATTCTATATCTGCATTTAAATAAGTTGGAAACAATTTTTTTATCAGAAAATAAGTTGGAAACAACTTAGTAGGCGGGATTTCAGTGAAATCTTGGTTGAGGATTGTCCTCTTCTGGAGGCAGCAGGCCAGGGTTAGACGCAGCAAGGTAATTAACAATGATTCTTTTTTGTGAGAATGCTGACTTATAAGGGATTCACAGCCTATCACTAGAAAATAATTTAATAGATGGTTTCTAACTAGAACAACAGTCCTTCAACACTGACTAATAAAGAGAGCAGTGAGAAGATGAAAACAATGTTAAATTGACTTACCTCCATGGGAACTCACTGGTGTCTATTCCAGCTTGGTGAAGCTCATCAACATATTGCAATGCTTCCCGGCACTCCTCCCGGTCATCAAAGAATTCCTTCTTGTCACCTTCTATCTGATATGTTTCATGACCTTTCCCAGCAATCACCTGCAAGCCAGTAAATTAATTAAAACTGATTGTACTCAGCAATTAACAGAGCATAGCCAGGGTATTGTGGAGTTAGAATTTCTTTTCTTTCTCAAAAAAAAAAAAAAAAATACAGTTGCACCAAATATGTTCTGTGACTAGTTTATCAGAGAACAAAGAGAAATTGAATTGGATAGGGATTTCCGTCCACACATAAATTTTCAGCAGAGAAGCTAAGCAGGGCTTTGAAGACTTACAACCATATCACCTTCTTCCCCCATGGCCACAGCAGCTCGTACAGCTACCCTTCTGATGTCATGTAGGAAAAGTCTATGACCATTTGGAAGAGGTGGATAATAGTCATTTTCTCCATGTTTCAAGTAATCCTGCATGGTCCATCCTATACCAGCGAGCATGTCATCCAAGATGTTCACTGGAAAAGAACAACCAAAAGTTATTCTTGGAATGCCAATATCTGGTCCAACAAGAATTCCACATTACTGTTTCTATTTTTTATAGGAAAGGGAAAAAAAAAAGAAAAAAGAAAAAATATAGAAATATAGAAATAGGTAATGATAATCAATTATAAAATAAAATATCTAAGTTGTAAAGGAAAATAGCATCCACCAGAATAAACTGAGCTTTATCCACCAGTAATTTATACAATATCAGAGTCAACATCTTCCCCAAATCCATAACCATGTTTTAGTTAAGAGATCTCTGATCCAGCAGTCTTGAGAATGACAGAGTAAACATAAAAGAGTGAATAGCAGTAAACAGAGCTCAGTTCAAATACGTACATGGATCTTCATTCTTAGGATTGTCAGAAGTCAGGATAACCACATCACTTTTGTCTGTTGCAATCTTCGTCATCATAGGTCTCTTCCCTCTATCACCCTCACCAACACACCCAAAGACTTGATTCAAAGCATGAAACTGGTTAGACAACGGAAGAACAACTCTGTTTTATACCATTATTCCAAATCATTGCTATGTTCTACATTTTTGTCATTATTAAAAAATTAATCAATACAAACATCTATTTTAGCAGAATTGGATGTTATTGTTCCATCTTTTCTTTCTCTATAGTCTATAGTAAAATAAAGAAAGTATCATAATTTCCAGCTGTGCTCAAGAAACAGAGACTGGAAGAATATTTTCTTTCAATACATACCACAAAGTTTTGGTGATAAGTGAGAATCACAACCAAAATATGAAACAAGATGATTTGGTTTCTACAACCTAATCTACTTAGCAATATTAAAATTTAAAAACTCAAATAAAAAAATGGCAATTTTAGTCTCCACGATGACCAATACAAGACAACAAACTACTCACTGGAATCCAGCAAGTAACAGTTCTGCAAAATAAAATCTGAGTGAACAATCATCTCAACTGATTTCTTATCAAACATGGAATTTGGATTGGGTAGACAGATCCCATCAGATGTACCAAATTAACCTAACCAAGTAAATCAATAGTCAAGTTGTTTACTATTGAAATATTTTGTCTAAGACTGAAATTAATGTGCAGTTCAAAGATCCCTAGGATAAACATAAAGTATCTGACAGTTTTATTTCAAGACAGGAAATAAACATACTACAAAAAGGAAAGATACAAAAGAATGAATAAAGAGAAAGAAAATTAAAAAACAAAAGAGATATACCAGTGATGATTCTCCGTGGGCCAAGCTCCCTTACAGAATCTAGTAGTCTAGATAAGGCATCAGGAGTATGAGCATAGTCCACAATTACTCCGAATGCTTGCTCCTCATCTATTAACTCACACCTACCTGGAACTGCATCAACCTCTTCAATTCCTCTAACTATGTCCTCTAAAGGCGCCCCAACTGCAATCCCAACTGCCACAGCTGCAAGGATATTGTAGATATTATGTCTCCCAAGCAACCCTGATGATATCTCCAATATTCCTTGTGGGGTATTAACCAAAACCTGGGTCTCGAACAGGGAAAGTTCAAACTTTAACGGGTGAACATCTGCACTCTTATTCTCCATTGCAAATGTTACCACCGGAACATCTGGGTTCCCTTGAGCAATAAAGAACGGTGCGTGTGGGTCATCAATATTTACAATTTTTCTATGTCGTTCTGGGTCCACCATCCTTGCAAACAGCTTGGCCTTCGCATCCCTGTATTCCTCCTCAGAACCATGAAAATCCATGTGGTCCCTTGTCAAGTTTGTGAAGACTGCAATATCAAAATCAACCTCATCACACCTACCTAGTGCAAGCCCATGAGAAGAAGCCTCCATTACAACTGCCTCCGTACCATTATGAAACATCTTGGCCATGAGCTTCTGAACCAAAACAGCATCAGGAGTTGTGTTCGGTGACTCCAACTTGTTATCCCCGTGCACATAGTAAGCTACAGTGCTCAACATCCCAGTCCTCAATGCCATTGCTTCATACATGCCTTTTATCAAATATGCCGTGGTTGTTTTCCCATTTGTGCCTGTGATACCAATCACAGACATGCTCTTTGATGGGTTTCGATAAAAGGATGCAGCCAGTGCAGGAAGAACTGAATTCGTGTCCTCTACAATGACCAGCGCCTTGCATCCTAAGGTCTCGTCTATATCTATCTCTTTGCTAGCAACCACAGCAACAGCACCTCTCTTGTCAGCCTCGCTCAAATACAAATGCCCATCAGTTTTCATCCCAACACAGCACACAAACAAATCACCCGCGCTAACTTCCCTGGAATCATGTTGGATTCCGGTAATTTCAACCTCCAAGTTGCCATAAACAGATACAGGTACTACCTTACTCTCGTCCAATAACTCAGCTAAAGTCATTCTAAATTTGGGTTCCACAATTCGAGGCTTTGACTTCCCGTAACTATCGAAATCGAGATCAAACGACGAACTCGACGTACGAGAGCTGGAGTTACTAACATCCTCGGCAAATTTCACTGGGTTTTCTTCGTCAGAATCCTCAGAGATCACAGTAATCCCCTGAAGCTTTTGAATTTCATCCAAATCCATGACTTCCTCGGGCTCCAATTCATCGATCCCTTCTCCATTCACATCTACTGCCTTTTGGCCCTTTCCTTTCTTCGGGTTTGGTTTTAAGAGACCTTGCTTAACAAATTCCTTACGCTTGAGTGCAATAGCCCGGTCAATCTCCCCGAACAGGTCGTCACCTGAATTTTCACTATTTGTGGATTCAGGGTCATCGGGAGCATCTTCTTCTTCGGCGAGTGCAGACACGAAGATCGACTGGTCTTTCTTGAACTGCTCCTCTTGTAGCTTGCGTGCTCGGGCGGCCTGGCGGTGAATTTGCTGAAATTTGGATACACCATGTCCGGAATCTTCTGGAGCTTCAGGTGGGTCGTCGTCGGCAGGCGTCGGATAGAATTTACCGTCGGGTCCAATGGCAGTTGGAATCCGAGGTTTCTGACGAAGAAGTCTAAGAGACGGAAGGGACTTGAATTGCAGAAATGGCGCTTTTATGGAGTAAGAGAAGGACGGGAACTGCGGTGAAGGAGAGAAGCTTGGGAGGGAGAGAGGAGTAAGAGCCATTAAAGTGGAGATGAAGCCACGGGGAAGAGAGAGAGAGAGAGAGAGAGAGAGAGAGTGAAGGGCGGGGAGGGTTTTGGTTGGGGGTTTTAGCTTGAATGCTATAACTTGTAAGGATAGGGATACTACAGACTACAGAGTACAGAATTCAGCGTAATAATGTAGGCTGTCGGACTTCTGGACCCGTAAAACTTGCCCGTCGGGCTGCCCCATCCATGTTTCAGGTAACGGGCTCCACGACACTTTGGGCCTTGGGCAGGGTAGCCCGACGGCCCGGCCCTTTCTTTATCGGACTTGACATGATTTTAGGCCCTCGGGCTTGGGCCAAAAAATACTAGGCACGACTTTTCTTGTGTTGGGTTCGAGTTTTACCCTGATCTAATAATATTTTATAGGATAAAATACAAAAACCTCCCCTGAAATTTTTGACAATCATAAAACCTCTCTTTTATTTTTGAAAAAATCAACAAATACCTCCCTTCCGTCAATGACCAAAATGGGAAATGTGTATAGTTACATTTTTACCCTTTCATCAATGACATTGTTAAGGCTACTTGCTAGCATCATTTAATTCCCATTTAGATCCTACCATAGTGGTTGTTGCTGTTGACATGGCAACAGCTGCAACCCCCAACTTTATTCCACCTGCACTTTTGCAAATGCAGCTATCCCTCCAATTAGAATAGCCCTTGGGTGGAAATCCAATCTATAATACCAATCCCTACAACCTCATGTGGTTTTCTCTAAGGACCCAAATCTCTCTATGGTTTCTTTTCTCTTCATGGAACTCTTCTTCTTACTTCAACAAACTTACTCTTGTGGACACTGATTCGACGAGGCCTTGATCTTCAGCCAGTTGAAATCCACGATTGCTAAGGTTGCTCATGGTTTGGTTCGCTTAGGCATAAAGAAAGGCGATGTCATTCTCATATTAGCTCCTAATTCGGTTCAATTCCCTATTTGTTTCTTGGGGGTTGTTGCTATTGGAGCTATTGCTACCACTGTGAATCCTCTTTACACCACCGCAGATATCGCCAAGCAAGTGAACGACTCTAGCCCGAAGCTCGTAATCACTGTTCCTCCATTATGGGACAAGGTGAAGGATTTCGGGTGGCCTCCGAGTGCTTCAGCAATAGTCTCCCGTGCCAAAACTACTTCATTCTCCGACTTGGTTAACATGGCGGGAGGGTCAGTATCCGATTTTCCTGTAGCTTCTATTAAGTAGAGCGATATCGTGGCTCTTCTGTATTCATCTAGTACGATAGGTATGAGTAAGGGTGTGATTCTGACTCATCAGAACTTCATCTCGGTCACTATCATGGCATCTGCAGACGCACAATGTTTTCCTTTGTTTCACATATTGTCGGCTTTATTTCCATTTTTGGTACCTATAATCACCGATACTTTGACTTAAGTAAAAATTCGAAAATTAAAGAAACCCAAGCTAGAAAACCTTCTTCAGCCTCTCCTTTCGTGAGTGAAAAAAGTATAAACACAGTCTTGGCTCCTCGAGCTTTGAGTTCTCTTCTGAATTGTTTCAGCCACCGCCGCTATGTTCACGTAGTAAGGAGGACAACAAAAAACAATGACTCGGCAGAAGAAGAAGGAGAAGGAGAGAGACAGACCAATACTGTAGATCGGAGTAGGTTCCGCCGCTCTGGTGCTTCAGGACGTTAAGGACAGTGAATAGTGTTCTTAGAAAAATTAGAAGAAGAAGAAGAGAGAGAGAGAGACCAGTGGTGTAGATCGGAATAGGTTCTGCCGCCTTAGTGCTTCGAGATGTTGATGATAGTGAAGAATATTTCTTAGAAAAAATAGAAGAAGAAGAAAGAAAGAAACTTGTGGTGTAGATTGGAGTATGTTTCGCCACTCTGGTGCTTTAGGATGTTGATGATAGTGAACAATATTTCTCGAAGAAGAATGAGAAAAAGAGAGACTAATGGTATAGATCGGAGTAGATTACGCCGCTCGGGTGCTTTGAGAAGTTTAGGACAATGAACAATATTTTTCTTCTGATTAGTTAAATGAAGTATTTTAGTGAAAATAGATGCATATTAATTCATAAAATGATAAAATAGGTATTTTGAAAAAAATGATCATCAAATTAATGTTTTCATTTTGGTCATTGAGGGAGGGGAGGTATTTGTCCATTTTTTTCAAAAATAAAGAGGAGGTTTTTGCTAAAATGAAACCATAGGGGAGGTTTTTATGATTGTCAGAAACTTCAAGGGAGGTATTTTGTATTGTACCCTATTTTATATGATAAATAAAATAGATAATATACTATTTTTTTGGTTCCTCTACTATTTTCTTAGCCATTGTAAGATCTTTCAATATTTTTAGTTTTGAGGATGTTTAATATAAATAAATCAGTTCTGTCAATCTATTTTGCAAACCCAAATCCGGAAAGAAAAAATAAGAAATTGTCACTTGTTCTGTCATGGTGGAAAAAGCAGAGAGATCTGCTATGGAAACCCATATCAAGAAGAAGAAGAAGAAGTTGTCACTATTCTACCATGGCGGAAAGAGCAGAGAGATCTGCTATAAGAACCCAGATTTAGAAGAAGAAGAAAGAAAGAAAGAAAGAAAAACAGAGAGAGAGAGTGAGAGAGAGAGAATGTGGAGAAAGGAGAAAGTTAATAATTACCAATAATGTTGATTGTCAACTACTGAGAACAATGGCCTACTTTGAAGTTCAACTGATAGCAAGATCTCCCCTTGACCTGGCGATTGACCCTAACCCTAACTTGTGAATATGTCTAAACATTTACCAATGAAAAGTAAATATCATGTGATGCCTTTAAAGTAATTGGTAGAAATTTTAATTTAATGTGTAACCATTATTTGAAGGGTAACAAACTTAAACATTCAATGAAGATGAGGGTCGTTTGCATGTTTCTTGTTCTTCTCAAAGTGCTGATGTAGATTTCCTTAATTTTGGCACTTTTGAAGAGTTGGTGTAGATTTTTTTTACCTTGAGCTTCGCACTTGATGGAATATGAAGAATGTTTTTCTAAGAAGGGGCTTCTTGCAATGGCTTGATTTTCTTGTGAGGCTTGAATCCAAGTGTGAAGTATAGAACTATAAAGTCGTTTTTCTTCCTTCTTCTCTTTTGAATTTGAAGTAAAGTTGGAATTAGCAAGAGTTTGTGATTACTTTTAATAAGTGTTGGTGTGAGTGAAGGAGAGCTTATCAAATATGTAAGTGTGATTAGCTAAAAATAAAGGCTCTTTCTTCCTAGGCAAGGCTATTTATAGCCTAGGATTAAGGTTGTTGCTTCAACCAAATTTGCTAACCATTCCCATGTAAGTGGGGTGTTGGGTTAGAGTTAACTCCCATACATGCTTCATTATATAGAAGTTAATGATTTTGTCAATAGAACCATCCTATTACAATAGGACATGAGCCTAATTAGGACTAGTATACATGGATTGGATTCTTAAAACATGGTCATGTTTATGTAGATTGGGCTCATGGGCCCATGGAGGCCCTTATAATTTAGACTCAAAAATGGTTTGAAAATTTACATGTCTACAAGTAGACCTGTTCATGGGTTGGGTCGGGCCGGGCTGAGCTTTTACTCATCATTAATGGAAATACGCTAGGCCTGAGCCCGAGTCCGGCCCGACCAACGGGCCTATAACTTGGGCCCGAGCCCGRCCCTGATAAAAAGCCCGAAGCCCGAGCCCGAGCCCGAAGCCTGACCTAATAAAAAAATTACAATTTTCCCTATTCAAATTAGAATTAAAAATTCATATGTTTTTTTTTCCTATTTAAATGAACAATGGGCCTACAAGATGGTTTTTATCCCTTTCTTTTACGTTTTAAAACACAGTCTTACATTCTTAAATCAAAAAATTTATTCAAATGGACATAATCACATAACCCATTTTTTAAGTGTAATTTTAGGTCGGGCAGGGCTTTTTGGCCCGAGTTTAAGCCTGCGGGCCTATAAACATGTTAAAGCCCGTCCGGGGGACGGGCCGGGCCGGCCCATCTAGCCACCCAGACCATGAACAGGTCTATCTACAAGCATACCCCTAAGTTTTTCAAATAGACATAGGGTCCATTTGGTTTGAGGGAATAGGGATCGGGAATCAAAATCGGAATGGGTCAGTCTATTCCCTAATGTTTGGTCAACTGGAATGGGAAAGGGTAGGTACAATGTGATTCTATTCACGGGTCGGGTTGAGTCGATTTACTAGGGTTTTCCCAACCGACCTGACCTAGTCGGGTTACCTGAGGTGGAAACCGAAACCGACCCACTGATAGGCAAAACCAACCTGGTTGGTTTGAGTCGGGTTGGGTCGATTTTGGTTTTGCTCCTGTACAAAAATGACAAAGAAGCCTAGAAATAGAAGGAAATTTATTTGAGAAGATGGGAGAGTTGGGAGAGACAAGTTCAAAAATCAAATGATGTCTTGAGTTGAGGACTTGAGGAGGGCGGACCAAGTTAGAGAATAGAAGAGAAGACAAAAGTTATCAATAAAATATATAGTCAAACTGTTTTATAGAAAGAAGGCTGAAATATTTATATTTCAAGAAACATTCTAAATTCTAATCTAGGCAAAAAAGGACACCTAATTCTAATTGTAATTGCCTAATGGGTTGCCTATTTGGTGTAAAAGACTATAGAAACTAGGATAGATACTGATGTTGCGCAATCCGGGCACTCCTAACTAGTAGTTGATTGGCTCCTAGCTGATGATGGACGGTACCTTAGAAGAAGACGGTGAAGAATTCCCGGGGGACTTGCCCGATGGGAATACTTCGATGCTTAAGTTAGAATGCTGGAGAAAGTAGTAAAGAGTGCCTAAGAGTGTAGGTCGCGCTAAATCACTGAGTTAGCTCGAGAGAAAGTTCAACTAAGTTCAAGATATTCGAGATAAGATCCCCTTCCCCTTCCACCAAGGGTCTCTTATATATGGGCGTTCTTGTCAAATCGGGCGTAACTGCCACTGAACCTCTGTTGCAGCAGTTATCTGCCAGGGCTGCGCAGGTGACCGTTGTAGAGTACTACCCAATCGGATGAGTGACACATCCCGGAAGGACAGACACACCACCATCTGTTGAGAGACGTGGGCGCAGTCTTGTCAGGGTGGCAGGGACTGCGC